ACAATGTAGGTTTTGTTTTAATATTGCATCAAATCATACAATCCAGCAAATTCATTAATCTTATTTACATTAAATAATATGATGACTTAAAAAGAATAACAAATACATGTACATACAACGGACTTTACATTAACATACAAGGGACCTTACGTTATAACAAAACCTCATATTATAATCCAATTCAAATAGTTGATAGATAAAATGATGATTTCAACCATATTGTGTCATATACAAACATAACACTTAATCTATTAATCCATTGATCTAACTTACAAGCACGAAAATAATAAAATAAAAACCTTTATTTTCAAATATTATATAGTGACGGTGATAGTCAGAGGAGAGGGGGACCCTCATACGTAACAAAGATACAGCTACAACAACCTGGTTCAAAACGAAAAATAAGGAACAAATAAAGCAATAACACAATACAAATCAAAAGATTTTTATACAATGAACACCTCTCTTAGAGCATGGTCCTGCAAAATGGAATGTTATCATCTATCTAAGTATATATCTTCTACGAACATGCATGACTGCCTAAAGTCATGAATTCTTAAGTCAAGAAAGTAGCATGTGCGAATGATTCAGATGTACACATGCAATATCAATGGATATGTAATATCAAAGGACAGAAAATGTACCACAAAATGTCCAAAGATTATAATATCATGAGTACCTCTCATAAAGCAAGGTAATGCAAAATGGTCTAATTAACCATCCTTGAATTTTTTATCTTGCATAAACATGCACAGTCTCCTAAAGTTCAGGTCATCAATTCTAAAGACGAGGCATTTATAAACTTGTGCTAATGATTCAGATACATGTAATATCAATGCACAGAAAATGTTACCGGTACCACATAAATTCTCAAAACATAATGAGTACCTCTCATAAAGCAAGGTAATTCAAAATGGTCTAATCAACCATCCTTGAAGTGTTTATCTTGCATAAACATGCCATGATGAGTCTCCTAAAGTTGAATTCATCAATTTTAAAGACAATGCATTTTTAACTTGTGCGGATGATTCAGATACATGCAATATCAATGCACAGAAAATGTTACCACATAAAATGTCAAAAGATTGCAATATCATGAGTACCGGTACCTCTCATAAAGCAAGGTAATTCAAAATGAATTATTTATCTTGCTGAACATGCACAGTCTCCTAAAGTTCAGGTCATCAAGACGAGGCATTTATAAACTTGTGCGGATGATTCAGATACATGTAATATCAATGCACAGAAAATGTAGCCTACAACAAAAATTGTCAAAAGATAGTAACATAATGAGTACCTCTCATAAAGCAAGGTAATTCAATGGTCTAAATTAACCATCCTTGAAGTGTTTATCTTGCATAAATATGCATAGTCTCCTAAAGTTCAGGTCATCAATTCTACAGACGAGACATTTTTAACTTGTGCGGATAATTCAGATACATGTAATATCAATGCACAGAAAATGTACTACACAAAATGTCAAAAGATAGTAATATCATGAGTACCTCTCATAAAGCAAGGTAATGCTACTATGGACAAATTAACTATCCTTGAATTATTTATCTTGCATAATCATAAACATCTCCTAAAGTTCAGGTCATCAATTCTAAAGACGAGGCATTCAGGAAAGTATTTTGTGTGGATGATTCAGAAACCTATCAATGAAAACATACCACGTATATGTACAATGTCAAAGTTGTTATGAGATGTCACACACATTTAACACTTTGACCACATTGCTCAATATTGTACACTTCATGGGAGAAAAACCGGCATACATTTCCAAATGCTTTTATAACTATTCCTAGAGTGTGATTTATCAATCATGCAATCAGTCTTATACGAGCCACATCAGTAAATGCTTCTAGTGTGATGCAAGCAAGAAATAAATTCTAACATGAAATTGGTGAAGGGCAATTTGGATTTGTAGATTGAAAAGACACTCGGTCCTGATAACCCTGAAAATTTCATGTTTGAATTGTTTAGTTATTTCAAGCATCTTGTTGAAAGGAAACTAACTTAATGTCTTACCGTTCCCAAGAAAAAGACGGAAAAAACCTGGTTGTTTACATTGGACACGAGGGAGTACGAATTTGTCCTGTCATTTTCAGTCAATGTACGATATACATGTACACGTTGTCTGTGCCTATCACAACACATGTACACAGCACCCTGCTCGTGAGCAGTGGTGACCAATCAGCAATGCACAAATATGGTTTCTTACACGTCCGCAAAAGGCGAACACTTTACGGAGGAAAACACAACTAGCACCAAAACGGCTCGACTTTTTGGGGTCGCAAAAGATGACTCTGAAAGTCGTTGTCGCCCGCATAATACGGGAATACACAAAAATGCCCAATTTTTAGAGAATAGTCGCGTGGATGTTGATATCCTACTTTTAAATGTTCTTTCCAATTAACATCACTTTGTTCAAAGCGTGTTTACAGCCTGTCTAAAAAAAATGGTACAATCGAAAAACAATTTTTTTTTTTTCAATATTAAATCTCAACATAAGTAAGTCGTTTTGAGCATCACATTAAGGGAAAAAGACCAGGCTTTCCAATACTTTTTGTTTCATCTCATTTGCTTTTGTCAACCCAGAGATAACTCCAGTTTACTGCAGAACACAAAAATCGAGTTTGTGCCACAGTACTCGAAACAACTCTGCCCATGCATAAAAGTGGCACAAAATTGATTTTGGTGTATCGCACTAAATTGATTGTATCTCTGAATTGACAAAAGCAAATAAGATCAAACAAACACTATTGGAAAGCCCAGTCTTTTTTCTTTAATATTATGCCAAGTAAGAATGACTTTTTTTGAAATTTCATATTTAACCAATATTTTTTCTGATTGTACCATTTTTTTGAGACAGGCTGTACTGTAGCCCGATTGGGCTGTTCCAGGACGTAGTGTCCCTTTTACCAACTCTATATCCAGGCTAAGAACAACAATAGAAAATTCAGTTGTGGTACAAAAAGATATCTATCTATGTTTCTTATGATAAAAGGAATTTGGTGCATACAGAACTTTAATTTAATGGGGTAACTGGCGATAGAAGGACTGGTACTCAGGATGAGAAATAACTGGTGTAGATCCTGAACACAGCTTGATGAGATCTTGATATTTCCCTTCTGACAATTTGGGCTTGGTTGAAAGGTACAAACGGAGAGGCCCAGAATCTACGTCCGGGGATCTTCTTGTACGAACTGCATCGATCTTGATGACTGAAAACTTATCATCTCTGTGGGAAAACTTGAAGCCTATTTGTTCTGGTTTTTCCCTCTGTATTTGGACCTGCTTGAATTTCGTCCAGTCAACTTTCTCACCCTCTTCAGAGAAGCGGACCCGGAGGATGCCGATCTTCTGGCTATGTGTCTTCCAGTCAACAATATCAGATGATTGCACCTTCACAACATGATATGCACTTGGTGTTTTACGAGCCATTGTACATACAGACACAAGTTGAGAAGGTAAGAACAAGTCACCAGCGTGACGCATGGCTCTTTCTATGAAGCTATGCATAAAGTCACCCTCTGATTGCCCATGATTGGTCTCAAAGAAGTGAATGGTGACAGTATGGACAGACCTGGATTGACGAACAAAATCCATGACCATAGCTGGGATGATAGAATTCTCGGTCTGGCGTACGCAACCATCAGAAAACATATAGTGACATTGTACTACAATGTATATATCTACAGCTGGCAACATGTTCATGTGATTTACCTGGCAACACTTATGCACGTGATTCCCCACGAACGATTTACCATGGTACGCTTGTCTGCAAACGTTGTGCTTTTGCAGTACTGTGTCAAGACCACAGGCTACTGGTCCCGTACCAAAGGGAAGGTCGACAGCTACAGCACGAGATTCCTTAAGAGGAGAAGAAAATAGAGAGATTTTATGTTAATTTTTTTGTTTAAGTATGAGCTATGTTAGTCATCTAAGCATGCAAGCACTGCAACAGTCGTACATGTTATCAGACTCTTTACCAATTCGGTGATATCAGTGTGTAGCTGCCCAGCTTTACATATCATCTCCCTGTATTCGCCATGTATTTGTTGTGCCTGTTGTGCCTGTGGATGACTTTGCAGTTGAAAAAGGGGCAGTTCCTCTTCTAATTCTTCAAGGCTTTCTCTTTTCTGTAGAAGTTGGTGTTTTAGTTCCTGCTGCCTCCTTACTTCTGCACCTACTGCTTGGTCGAAGTTAAATTCATCATCATCATCATCTTCATCTGCTCCCTCTACTCGCAGCTTGAACAACCTGACGTCTAGGCTGTGGCAATCGGACTCCAGGAGGTCATAGATCTTCTTGAAGATGCCGAGCGAAATGTGCAGACTGGGCAGGATTACCTTCAAAACACATGGTACGAGACACGTTATGTATTGTATACGAGTCATGTACATGTACACATAAGCACATATACATGTATATGTACCACACATGCAAAAGATTACTTACGTGGTCAATTTCGATTGGCAGTTTTGGAGTGTCGACAATGCTAAAGGAAACGTCTTTGGCCTTCTTTCGTCTGCTTCCATCATCTACAAATTTGTTGTAGTGATGCTGGATTTGGTCGAGTGTTCTCTCGGTGGAAGAACCCCTCTCAGCTATAGGCACCTGCATTGTATCCTTACTGGCTAAGCAGTAAATACAGCAGTATCGTGCTAGGAAAAAAATGACAAAGCCAATCAATTATCTAATGTTGCCCCTCACCTAGATTTTTTCTGCAAACCTCATAGAGTACTGAGTACACAGTGCTTGTAACTTTGCAAAGCTATGCATAACTAGGACAACATTATTATAAACCTAACCAAAAAAAAAAGACATAAGTACCATTGGGTCCATTTGTGCCATACAACTTGGACAGGAGTTCATAATCACCGAAGCAGAGCAAGCGAATCGTTCGTCCTCTGTTCATCATGTTCAGGGAAGAAAGAAACAGCAGAGAATAAGAGTTTCACGAATAATATGCATATACAAGCTTTTGAGCAATAAACGTGGTAATTTTAATTTGTTTATGTTTAAGATTAAGTAACATATACGTTTTCCTTTTTAAATTTTTGCTCACCTCCATTGTTGTTTAGAAAGCGTGGTGATCTGGCTTATGATTTTGGGAAGTGTTCTCTTCAAATTTTGAGATGTGTCGCTCCCTTCAAAGCACGCGAATACCACCGTGTTTTGGAGGCTGTTTGGATGGTTCACGTTAACTATTTGATAAGCCATCTTAAACGAAGAGCCACCTTTGTCACCTCCAATTTTGACCCAAATTTCGTTTGGTGGGATGACACCACTATGCCAGGTCAGGGAATTGCACCTATAAAAAAACATGTGTATATTTGTAAATGCCACATTTTGTCCATTTAAATTGAAATTTATAACATATGTTTTGATTTACAGGTGAAGTACTTACTCCTCAAGTCCGTCCAGATAATCCAGCACCATCATGCTGAGGTTGTTCACAGTGACATATGGCACCATTCTACCCTCAAACCCATGAGACCCATCAGACTTGGCACTTGGGAACATGAGCTCTACGAGTTCTCCCTCAAGGTAGTCTTTCAGAAGACGTTTCTGCTGTGTCCTCATTGATCGTTCTGATGCGATGGCGGGACCTACATATCTGTTTTGGTTATAAATTATCATGAACATTGAATTCATCTCATAAAATGTTTTAATCGAAAGCGTTAATGATTTTCAAAAATGTATTTAACTAAAATACCTGCGCAGTTTTCTCAATTGCTCCCATGCAAGATTGCAGTCCCGCATCATCGCCAGAGACCGGTTCACTGGTGGCACAGTTGGTTTACATGACGGGGGACTCGGTGTACTTTCAGGTTTTTTTGGTGCTGAGCATTGTTCCTTTGTACTTTGCGGGGCAGGGGATGAGACTTGATGAACATGTGCTGGCTAAAATTCAACATAGAAAATACACCATAATTGTAAAAAAAAGTACAATGAGCTATATTGATTGTATTGTATATATTGTATATACATGTATGTAAATAAGTAAATATTAAGTTAAACAAGTATCTTGGCCCAATTTCATGGCACTGCTTACTGCATGCTCATCAGCAACATTTCCTTTTTAACCCATAAAATATGCTTAAACTTGGACTTTTCTGCTGCCGTAAGCACCGATTTGTAGCCAACAGTTAACAGTGCCAAGAAATTGGGCCCATGTCACTGTAAATATTAGAGAGGGGATGTACTATGTGCGGCAAAATCAATGAACTTGTAACAATCAGATCGTTTTTTATTGTGTAGAGTTAAGGCACATGATATGTATTTTATCATTTTAATGTTACAATACAAAGGTTAAACTTGATTTGTCAGAAACAGTGCAATTTAGGTTTTAATTGTAAGATGGTCATTTAGAATAGTTTCAGTTCTAATATTATTTATTTAATGGATTGAGCTAGAGGGATATTGATACCATTATTTTTCACTTATTTATTATGATCTTACTAATCTTACCCGTCCGCCTGTGTTTAGAGTAGCTGCTCTGTTTGACTGTTGTAATTTCAACCATGTCCATCTGTCTGTCGCTCTTTCTATTTCATAAGGGATTGGCTGTCCCTTTGGGTGTTTGAGGGCCTCTTCTCGTAGGATCCTAGCAGCATTTGATATGGATGACTCTTGTTGATTTGTACTATTTTCTACAATAGGCCTATTCGTACTTGAAAAACAAGTGCCTCTTCCCTTTGTTGATGGAGTAGAACAAAGTACACAATCATGTGCTGTGAGTTGACGGAGTTTTCCTATTTTACTACACTTGGAACAAATCAAATTCAAATTGTTCAGCTGCACTGTAAGAATACGCGAGCTAAGAGATACTTCTCTGAAATTGAAACTTGCTTTACACACTGGACATGGTACCAGAGACAAGTTCTTGAACTGAAAGTACTTTGTTAAACAGCTGACACAAAAGTTATGTTCACATGGAGACTGTACACATGGTGAAGCCAATAAACAGAGACAGATTGGACAGGTAAATAAGGAGTGTTCATCCTCTCTTCCAAGTATCTCCAGGTGGGGATCTGACTCAATTGTAGTATTAACAATGTTGGTGAAAATATTGCTGGTCTCAGGGGTTATGGCAAAAGGCAAAACTTCAGAAGAAGAGGATGATTTTCCAATGACTCGTTGACACTTTTTTGGACGACCTGGCCTTGAAGACAGTAGAAATCTCTCACAAATTGTACAGTTTCCAGATCTCTGGTGCTTTATCCAGTCAATATGTTCATATGCAACACTGTCACTTTTGTAATCCTGTGTTTGTGCCTTGTAGTGCCTTATCTTTCTTGCACACTTTTCACAAAGTGCTTTAGGATGTTGATCACAGTTATCGCTCCAAGTGTTAATGTCAAATACAGCCAGTATTTCCTTACGATTGTCTGCAGACAAGGTTGGCAATCTATAGCCTTTGTTTATGTCTGTTCTTGCACCACAAACTCTACATAATTTTGTAAGTACGTTTTTGTGATAGTCAAAAGTTAAAGCTCGGAACATTGTACTGTAGCTAAGTTATATAATAAATAAAATACCTGATCAACCAAGTGCGAACTGTGCGTCGATCATCATTTTGCTTCTGTATCTTGTGTTGATAAAATATTTGGGGGTTTGGACAACTCGACCGTTTGCCAACTAGACTCGGGACAACTCGACCGTTGAGACATCATCGATGTCCGTGTGCTTTGTGCCGCGCGCGACGTCGCGCCACCGAGCCTTGCCGCGCCGTCGCGGGCAGCTCCGGCCCCACGACCCCGGCCCCACGCACGGTCATCATAAAGATGACATACCCTCAACGCAGCACACGCAAATACTACGCACTCCGATCCGTTACCCACATTCAAGTACAAGTACATGTACGTGTACAACATCTCGCATATATTCGAGTTGATTCCATGTCAAAGTCGACTTGTCTCGGCGGTCCGTTGTCTCAACGATCGAGTTCTCAACGGTCGAGTTGTCCCGAGTCGAGTTGATAAACGGTCGAGTTGTCTGACATCCTGCACGAATATACTGGCTATCTGACAACTCGTATTTCGCGGGCTTTGCGTACGCTCTCAAAAGCAGACGACCCATATTTAGTTCCCCCAAAACTCGATTATATTGGGAATTTGAGCCATTGCCCACACACAAAAGTAAGTTGAAAGTACGAAACATTTAGTTTTTCTCAAAATAATTGACTTCTTGTAGAGATAAAAATTAAAAAAAACCCAATAAACAGGAATTTTACTTCGAGATGGAAACATGACGGACATTATAGTTCCGTCATAATTTTTCATCAAAAAATTATGACACAGACCCTTATTTTATTTACATTTTTTTATTTGATAATCGCAACTTATAGAAATTGTATTTGTACATTGATGTTTGATGGAGGATATAATAGTTTAGGACACTGAGGGTTGATATCTTGTCATTATCTGATTTTATGAGCGACGGAATTCCTGGCGGCGCGCCGCCATGTTTTTCTTGACTGGCTGCGTGACGTCACGCTTCATTATTGGGGTAGCGAAACAAAAACAAACAAACAGTAGAGAGTTTATTTACGCACGGTCTATGAGGTTGAAACGGCCGTGCCCCCCACAAAAACTGCAATGAACACTTCCCCCATCCGCCGAAGTTCTCGCACTAAGCGTACACCAGCGAGATTCATAGATCTCGACTAGCCCCCTACAAGTCCGTTTTCTGTTGACCCCGCTAAGGTCAGGAATGCGGAAGTAAACAATGCAGTGACCGTCCATTCATAAATCCGGACGCAACAGCTGGTGGCCATCGCAGTGTGTGTATATAGCCCGTCACTGACATTGCCCGGCTGTCGGACCGCCAGGTACTGATAGTGCATGACAGCTGGTTATGTTCTGTCATCTGTTTTGCTGAGATACCAAGGCAACTAAACATGATCAAAACACAAACAAACACTTGTTTCTATGACAGCAAACTAATTAGGTCACGACCAATCAAAGGGCGCCACATCCTTCGGACCAGCGTCCCTCCTACCCATCACCCCCAAAAGAACTTGCTCCCCTCACAACTGTTCTCACCATCTCGTTGACAACACGTGCGTTACAGCCATGGATTGCAATTACTGTGAAAAGTCACTGCGGGATGTTTTCGCCCTCGACAGGCATTGCCAACATTCTCATTGGCCATGGTTCATGAGAAACTTTATATGTGGGTTCTGCAAAAAGGGATTTTCAACCCATTCCTGACTTGCATCACACATGCTTAGTGCTGTTCACACTCAGAAGCAGGCTGACGCAAAAGGGCTCATCTCACCACGGCAGAATGTTCCCCAGCGACGAGACGCGTGGCTTCTGCATCACCTCCAAAGCGCAGACATCACGCCCGACCAAAAGGCCCGCCTAGAGCAACATGTGTTTGTTATGGCGGAGGACCTGAGCTGCTCGCCAGTTGATACACCCCCTTCGCCCAGGCGCAGTCCAGAGACATTGCAAAGAAACTCGAAGACAGCGCCGTGCAGGTGAAACAATCTGTACTTCAACAGAGTGATGCGGTGCGGAGATACACCAAAACCGTGGCGGAGGCGCTGGCCGGATCATTCAAGTCCCTGTAAATATACATTACCTAGACAGTATAATCTTCGTTTTTTTCCTTTATTCCTATAATCGCTTAATATTTTTTTTTTAGTAGTTTTTAGTCTCTGTCGAATTTAGTTCTATTATTAGTAGTTTAGATACAAAACATCAAAAAGTGACAGTCACCACGAACTCTAGAAGAACTCTAGACTTTGCTCAACGAATTATGCTGTGCCCTGCGTAATTCGTGTTTTTTATGTTCACTATTCTACCTCGATCTGAACTCATGAACTGGAGTTTCTACGAGCCAACTTCAAATAACTGTATTGACTCTAATGTTTTCCTCTTGGTTACAACGAGGACGTTGTAAAAACTTGAGGGGGAATAGTGTTACGAACCCAGAATGCTTGATTATGGAAATCTAGCGCCCTCTGGATCACTCTGTCCATGAAGTACACAATCTTCTAGTTGTCTTTTATAGTTCCTGTATTTTACCCATTTATCGTAAATTGCCAACTTGCACTTTTATTCCCAGGGTCTCTTACCAAGCACAGCGCATGATGCAATACCACGCGCGCTACTGTATGCATTATTCATGTAGCGATGTACATGTGCGCAACTGACCACACCTCCCTTCGCCCCAGCGAGCTAAGTTCCTTTCCCCATAGCATGCGTGCTTTGGCGATCTCCGAGAGACTGCGCAGCGGCACGCAGCATTTCTCTCCCCCGTGCGTTACCCATGAACACTAACCGGAGTTCACGGTCCAGTTTTCTAGTCCCGTACTTAGCTCGAGGGAATGGGATGTTACCCTTGCGTGGTCGCGTAGCTGGGCGTGGTAAGACATCCTGCGGTGTCAATAACCTGTGACACAGTAACCTTTAAGGTGGTCACTCACTCCATCAAGGTTGCTCAAGATGTTGTGTAAACACTTTTGCACTCTGATCTAACTATTTGCACACATCTCTCTCTGTATTTGCACACTTCTCTCTCCATGTTTTCCCTTATGTAAATGCACACGTTTCTAGTCTCTTGCACTAGGCACTCTTAGTAAATCATGTGACTAGTCATGTGACCCTTAGACATGGAAGATTACTATTGGTTAATTCCTAAATCAGTGCTCATGCATTATTTAATCCCGAGACTTCTACTGCCTATAAATACCGGAGGTTTTCCTCACTTTCGGCAGTGCGGCGAACCACGAAACCAATGTAGTGCGAACGAACCCTAAACCCAAAGTTGTGCGGCGAACTTATATG